CCCTTCATAAGTTTGGATACAAAAAGAAGAACCACGTTTGTTATATATTGATTACTTACACACCTATCTCCGTAATAATGAATAGAAGAAAACTCGTGAAAATCATTGAGCAAAATGTAGCATTAAGATTGTTTTTACATTGTTTGTATTTTATTAGCCAGTTGTTCTCTATAAACACATAGATAGCTCTTGTATAGACCAAATAAACCATCAATATATTCAAGGAAAAAATGCTACGTGTAAGTGTTTTGCAATATTTATGCTCAACAATGCGCACGAGAAAAGAATGAAACTATTTCGACGAAAAATGTGAGCAACTAAGCTATGCCTTAACTCAAGCTCGTGATAGCGGTAAGGAGATACTGGCTTACTGAGTAACCTTTTGACTGTAAAATATGATAATGACCAGTTGTGCCATTTCTACTCTTAAATCCGAGGATGTGAGTTATACTATATGCCGCAAGGGCGTTTCGGAGTTTCCCAAAACTGGACAAGAAAGAAAGCGTCCTGTCCTGTATCTCCAAAAGTAAGGTGCTTTTAATGACATTTACATAGTGCTGTATTAAGCATTCTAAAGAATAATNCCTGTATCTCCAAAAGTAAGGTGTTTTTAATGACATTTACATAGTGCTGTATTAAGCATTCTAAAGAATAATGAGCACTTAATGACTGGCTCCAAGGGAAACAGTGAGTTTTGTTTCCCCTAGACCCTCAATGTCTCGAGGTCGAGGGGAGACAGAACTCACTGTTTGCCGTGGGGCCTGTCCTTGATTGTTTTGTAATACCTCCCAACTCAAATGTAGGAAAACTGCCAAAAAAATTATTTACTTGAAGCCGGCAGGCGCAACATATTTACGGCGGTTTCAAGGTGCATGGCCTGTTCACGTGCGAGTCGAAAGTTCAAGTTGTTGTTTCCCCAGGGAGTTAGTGAGTTTTGTTCGCGCTAGGGAGTTAGTGAATTTTGACCCACGACACTTGATACGTTCTCTTCCAATCGGAAAACGTATTTGATTTGAGAGGCATAACAATTTCACTTGTGGTTTAGTTAAATTGGTTCATGCAAAACGCCAGTTAAAATATTATTAGCTATCATAGATTTCAATCTGTGACGAAATCTCTAAAACTAGGAAATAAAACCTCTCTCATGTAAAATTCGAAAATTGAAGTAAGAATGCAAATTTGGGTAAAACAGGCCTTCAAGGTATGATCACTTCAAAAATACCGATAGGGTGAGCAAGAGAGTTTTGTATCCATTCCTTAATGGCAATTTAAGTTCATTTAGGTTAAAAAAGTTTCAAATCCCCTCGTGTCATTTCCGATCTACTACGGATAGAATACGACTTATAGACAAGAATTTTGTATCGAAGAAACAAAATTGAAAAAACTCATAATACGGTTCATTTGTTTCAGCTGTTAATAGGTAAAGAATAATTCACTTTTTAAAAACGTCTATTACCCAAAGCTCACTTAGTTATAATGCATATAGTTT